AACCATTCACGCTCCATAGGCCCATGTTCACAGCATTTAAAAAGTTGTCCATCATGTCCTTCGTGCTTATTAATGATGTGGTTGAAAAGAGAAAGCCACTTTTCCTTGATTAGTTGTGGACTATCTTTGCTAGTTGATGCACACCAATATACATGATTTTTTATTGATGGCACCCATTCATTTACCACAGCTGTTGTCCTCTTCTTGCCAATTTCTTCTACCTTTCTTGCAATCGCTGGTAGGAATTTTATATCAGTAATTGAATTTCAAGCATGATTGTCATTTTATTTGGATTAGAATATAGCAGTAAATCAATGTTTCAACTCTTTAAGAAATAATCAATACAATAAAGCAATATTCATTTACAAATGAAGTTATAAATTAAATTTCAGTGGAATGTGTAGATATTTAAACATTTGGCCAACAATTGATATTTTAAAGAGTTGGAGGAGTTTTTACATCTGATTTGTAACATTCATTTATAAATCAGTTGAACCTTTCTGTCTATGAATTTATTTAATGCCAATTGCTATGCAGCAAAGTTACAAAGCAACTCACATTTTGCAACATGGAAGACATCAAAGCGGTGATTCTTGTCTGAATGACATTCTCTCATGTATTTTTTAACTCCAGCATGTCTGTCTGTGACAAGTGTCGAGAAGTTAATACCTGCAGCTTTCACTTCATCCAAGCAACGTTTTAAACCTTCCAGCTCCATGTGATATGAACCACCAACTTCATTGCTCTACACCAATAAAAAGGGAAATCAGTAGACAAAGCATCACATGCTTAGAGTCGAGGGAGGTCATAGTCAATCATTGGAAAAGCTCTTTTGGACTTAAACTGAAACTTTGCTTATAGGTTATACCTAAAGTTGTAAGAATATTTTAGGTCTCATTTCATAGTTACCTGTAGTGTATTAACACTGATTATTTTGTTTGATTCCAGATTCATCAATGAATAGCTCCCATATTTGGCAGTATGACCTGGAGAATCCATTCTGGCATCACCTCCCAGTGTTCTGATACCCTGACTGCTTCTCAAAAGTTGCTGTTGAACAGACTTCCAATGTTCCAAAATTGAGGGAATCAAATACAGTTTTTGGATCCTATGATAAGTCCTCTCTGTGAAGCTTGGTGTTTGCATATTGTGAAAAAGTAGCAATATTTTTGCTGGGGAGCACCCTGACAACAATGTACTTGCAGCAATGACAAAATTTCCAAGTGGCATATCACCAATTAGTGGCTGACTTCTCCATTTTCTTACATGACCTTGCAGACATGATGCTTCAACTTGTACCATTGAGCCCACCAAGGAGGTTGAGATATCAATACAGGGACCAAGACAAACTGAGCAAATTGCGAAAAGCTGCAGGAGACATGACTCAAATACCAGGAACTTTCTTTCAAAGTGAGGTGGAATCTCCTTTTCACATTCAGACTCGGCAGATGAGAAAGATGATGCTTGAGGATCCCAGTTTTCACTTTGTGATCCACTGCTGGTTTCAGATTCTACCTCAGAAAACTCATGGGACTCAGCAAGACCACTGCTCAATTGTGGTGAAACTGTAGATAAAAAATTTTAAAGAGGAACACCATCTCTTAATTATCCTCAGGCATAAATTACTGTCTATTGTGCTCTCAGACTTGAACTACTACCTCCCCCCCCCCTTAAATTTTATCTACATTTAGCCTGTATACTCTCTTTTCTGTTTACCTGCTTTTAGGAAAGTCTGCAAGGAATATTTTTCTTGTATGTTGAATGATCTAATCAGTTGACAACATTTTGACAGAAATTACTCTACAGTTGACAGAATTCAAAATCCAAAAATAATTACAAATAAAAATGTATGACATGAGAGAAACAAATCAAATTTTACCTTCGTTCGCCTGATCTGGTACTCTATGGATACATAAAGGATGCATTTGGCTGTCTGTTTGTATGGCTTTATGGACAGACTTTTTTTTCCGTTCAGTTTGGGTATACCTGTTTACAGTCTCTGTTTTTTCTGTTTGCACTGATACACTAACTGGAAGTTGGGTGTCTGTATTGCAGCCAATGTCTATAAACAAGGGCATTGCAAGTTCTGTAGAGTCTTCTTCAGAGGGAGGAGACTGCTCTGCCAATAACTTTTGCACAATCTAGACCAGTATGTAAAAATTAATCATAATTTATTTATTATATAAATTCCCTAAAAGTCCTTTATTTAAGTTTGTAAGCAGAAAACAGGCTTGAAAAAGTTTCCTGTAGGGGCAGACACTTAGTCATATATTGGGGGGACAAGCCATTTGCTTTGATAAGATGATGTCAAATTGTTCCATTGTTTTAGACCCAAAGCCCATTTTCCTCAAAAAATATTGGGGGCAACCACCCCCTCCTCCCAGGTGTCTATCACTGCTTTCCTGAAAAGGAGCCTGAGACTGCAACGCCCCTCCAGTTTCATTCTGGTATACATTTCATATGTTTTGAAAATTATTTAGTGCTTGAAACCCAAAGCTCCTACTGCCCGCTTTATTTTACATTGATAGCATAATAAAAGTCATCTCACAAAACTCACATTTTGTTTTAGAAATATTCACATTATCAGGGAAGCTGGAAAGGGGGGAAGAGGGGGAAACTGCACTCTTGCCCTTTGATAGGAGGAGCAAGGGGGCTAAAGTGCCCTTGTTCTCAGCCTTTTGTATTTATTAAGGGGGGCATGGCCCCCTCACTTATTTGCAAAACACTGGAGCTTTTATAAAACCTTTTGTTATGATTGTTATATTTTATCTTGTCCTCTCCACTTAACCTGCGGCGGAGCCCGTTAAAATAGTATCGAAAGTAGAAATTGACTACTTTCGGGCAATTAAAAGTGGGCATGGTCGGACTGGGGGGAGGGGCATATTTGGAGTATTTGCCACAGCATAACCAAAAAATTTAATAATACGTGCAGCTTTAAATATGAAAATTAAAAGAAGCCGAATATACTGTGTTCTGAGAATCAATGATCTAGAAGGTACTATGCAGTAACAGGCTATGTAAAATTAATATGGCTTGACGAACCTCATGACGGGCTCTCTTCATTAGCGCTTTGCTTTTGCCAGCAGCAGTAACAGGGCTTTTTCTTGGGCTAAGGCTTGGCTCCAGCTGTTTCTGAAATTTGCTCGCAAACCTGCTCCCCAAATACGGTCTTTTCCCTTTGACATTACACTTAAATTTGGGTGACGAGAAGTCGAATTCCGTTGGAACAGCATCCGCTTTCAATTTTAACTTAAAACGAATGCCTGTTAATTCCATTAACTCGGGATTCCTCTCGAAGGAAGTTTGCTTGAAATGGTCTTGACAAAGCGCTGCTCTTGGACCGGGATTGAAGTTTTCCCTTTTTGTATTTCTAATCCACTGTCTACGTATGATAGGGTTTTCGGGGAATGTGAACAACGATTTTCCTTTACCAGTGCAATTATAAGCTGAACAACCAACCATTTTCTTTATCTGCAATCACAGGCCACGTTTATCTCGTCGAAAAGTAGCAGAATATTAACAAGGTGTCTGGTCACTTCGTGCGTGATTTGTATTCGAGAGATGAAAACATGGTGTTTGTGACGTCACACCCGCTAGGTCACATGAAATGCCGATAATGGCCGAGTCGTTAACGATAATTTTGTGACATTTGAGGCAGAATTGCAACGAAACGGAAAGCAATAATTAACCGAAAACTTGAAATTAAGATTCTACGCGTCATTTTCTACATTATATCAAAAAATAGTTTTGCGTGTCAGTTCACCTTTAAGGAAGTAAAGAGCTAGCAAAACTAGAAAAACGTGGGGGGAAAATGGAAAAAGATACAATTCAAATTCAATGCAACAAATATTCAATTCTGAGAACTGATATTTAGCTACATACTGATATTTACAAATTCCAATATTCTACATAAGACTACAATACAATGATATTTGCATAAGATAATTAGCTGCACTTCATTTTGCAAAATCTATTGATAGATGGGAAGAGATTGGATGTAATTATTTAGGCTTGATGAAAACAGCTCTGATTCTATGGGCTCCCCAATTTCACTGACAGGACTCTTGATAACAACATCCACATAAAGCTAAAGAAAAGAGGGAATTTAAAATTTTTAAAATTATAAATAAATTATTGTGAACAATTTTTTTGCGGTACAGAATTTGAAAATGGCTTTGAAAAAAGCATTTTACGACAGTTTATTTTATGCTCTGAGGAGTGTCAGACGAAAAAGGTTTTAGTATGTCGTAAAATGTTTGCTTTTTTCAAAGCCAATTTCAAATAAATTATTTGCCTTCATATGGCAATTGAACATGGAAATTTTTTTATGTATTTTATAATCTCTTCTCTAAAAATCTCTTACAATCTCTAAAATAAGTGATATATTTTAATTTATCCATTTCTATCAGATTACAAAAACCTCAAAATTTGAAGATTTAATTTAATCAGTTCCAATAAATCTTACTAGAGTGATTAAGTTTTGAAAAAATTTAAGGTAGTGATAAGATAAAAACCAGTTTTTTATCTTAATTGACCATAAAGTCTTCTCAGGCAAGCACTGATATGTGCTACTGCTGCATAAAAGCTATTTTGCAATACCACATTTCATCTTAAACAACAAATGTCAAAATTGAAGATGACCTCATGAAAACTAAATAATGCTTAAAAGCAATTCAAGCATAAAAAATGTTTTGGTCACTTATTACAAACACTTGGTGAATTGGCATTGAAATGGTGGGTAAATAAATAGACACCTACCATGTAAATATAGTGAAGATACTCGTTGATGTTTGTAACATTTATATCCGTGTTCATTAAGATTTTAACACCAGTAGGGGTTTCATACAAATGAAACTTGTATCTGTTTGTTTTGTAGCTTACAAAATTGTCCTTTCTGCTTCCAAGTCAAAGAAATGTGGAAGTGATAAGTTTTGATTTGAACAACTTTGCAAAGTGGACTTGAAGTTCATATAAATTTGTTTAATTAACATCATCTAGTTTACATCCCTTTAACCAGAGCTTACTTTTAATAACAGCCTGGGAGAATTCAGTGTCTGGGAACCAGATTGGAAAATTTGATGCTTAAATTTTATATCCTCAACTTGCACATATCTGCCCCATCACATATGAATATAATTTATAGTTTTAGTTTTTGACAAGCTGCCCTTATCTTGTTTTGTACGGTTTCAAACAAACGTTGCTGCTAGATAACATGGAATTCTACAGAAACAATGATTTTGCAACTTTGCAGTGCGGGTGGTTTTGTGACCACACAAAAGAACAAAGGTGAGCTTTAAACCACTTCACTACATTCTGAAACACAACTGAAACTGAAGATGCTGAAACCGCTCCATGACACAGTGAAACCACTTCACAAACATTATGCATTTTTCCTGGTGCTTTTGTGCATTTGCAAAACAAAATTCCTAGGTAATAAAATTAAACACTATTGGTATCAATCGGGCAATACCTCACTATATTTGATTGAATTTTGAGCAAAATAAAGTGAAAACAATGCTATAGCAATCCTGTTCCTCCATTCCAAACAGCAAATTTCAAATCTGCATCTTCATATTTTCAAAATTGCATGTGCAAGAAATAAAGTTCAAAATCTGGCTAGGAAGTGGATTGACTTAATTGATGATTCAAGGAAATCTCTCTGGAAAATAGCATCCTACAAATATAACATCCAGTAAAACATGTTGGTCACCCAATTTCCCTATATTCACCAGGTTTAATCATTTATAAAGTATGTTAAGAGAAGATATTTCAAACTATAATCCTTGCAAATATAATCCTTGATGAGCATCTCCTTTGTTGGTTCTAGGTTACTGATATAAGAAAAGATACGGATCAACTGGTGATATGCGGCTGACAAATGACTTCAAGGAGAAAAGCATTCCATATGTAAGCTTGAATTCCTAAAGAATAAAACAGTAAAATTATAAAGAAAATTTTTTACGATCTAAGGCTCTTATGCAAAACTTTGTGCTTTGTTCAATTTTTGGAACACTTTGTAGCTTTTGAAAGGCACTTTGTCCTCTCCAGTCAACAGTCCTTGTTATTATTCAGCCCTGGCGTACAGTTATATACAAAAAGTTAAATCTTTACAGTTGTATTAAAGACTGGAAAATTTAGCAACAACCCAGACTGGAAATTTTGTTTCTTGCGCAGACAAGTTTACTTTGAAGTTTTGAGACTGTGTGCCTGAAATCATAACTTCTTAGTTATTGTTTTAGTTAATAATGGTAACTACTGTTATTGTCTAAGGATTTAGTGCGAAGTTTAGTTAAGTAACCATTCTCCGCAATTTCTGTAACCGTTTCCTCTTATTAGTGTCCCACTTTCTATGACTTGCGGCTATGAAATGATGTTGACTCATCGTCATCAGCAAGTCAATTTTGCTAATTTTTATTTTGGCCATGCCAAAAGGGAAGTTGCCCATTGGCCAGGTGGACCCTTTGGCTGCAGCCGCATGACACATTTTTTTGTTCTGATACTGGGGGTTATGCTGTTGCAGTTTTATAAGGCCAAGCAAAGAATTCCCATTTTCCTCTAATTAGCATCCTGCTTGCTTTTGCTTGCGGCTAAGAAGTGATGTTGACTCAACTCAACGTCATCAGTAATAGACCAGAGGTGAGAGGGGGAGCATTATCACCTGAGCTGGCAATTAACCAGACTAACTTTTTCTGACTCAACTTTTTGTGTAGATTACGAATCCGGATGTTGCTTTGGCATTTAGGGGGGCGTTTTCTAGATATAGGGGGTCAAAGCCCAAAAACACGCGTTTTGACCTAATTTGACTGTTTTCTGCTATCACACTTTAAAAATTGGTAATTTTTGTTATTATCTGGTGATGTAGTAATCTTACGAAAGCGAAAAGACAGTGATAATAGTTTCAAATTACGTATGTTTTTGAAATATAAGAAGTTTTGAAAACTTGTTGTTCAACATCGTTCAAAGAAAAAGGATCCATTGATATAGACAAAGCTCTTACTGATCCTCTTGCCCTTGCAACAACTGAAGATACAGATGCCAAACAGCCAAGTGTATGCTACTACATACTGCATTAAAATCAATCATAGTACCAAAAAACCCGGTGCCAAAAATTAATCTGGAAAAATAATCGGTGAAATTTCGGTGAGAACTTGAAAAATCTTCGGAGTAAAGAATCGAAAAACTTTCTGTAAGTTATTTTTATCTTCAACATAGAATTATCTGGAACACAATCATAAAAATTGCAAAAATCGAATACTTTGATGCATACCATCAGACAGTTTAACTATCAATGTAAGGAAAATTTTAAATCACTGGGACATAACTTCAAAAGATAAAGAGATAGCATTAAAAAGACATAAAGAGATCTAATAACCCACACACACATTGGGACACATGGATAACACCCCTCCCCCCAAGAGTTCTGAATCTGTTCGCATCAGATTCGACATTTTTGGTACTTACTCAGCAAACTTGGTGGTGGCGTTAGATAAAAAAATAAATAATAGTCGATGGTATATTTGATTGTTTTCATTTTCATTTCGCTTTGTTCCTCTTCGCTCCTCGGCACGTTAATATTTCAACCGTTAATTTGCAAACTGAAACCACTGGGAGCTAAACTCCACATTACAATTTTTCAGCGTTGGTTGCGCGAATGATGAGAATGACTACCAGAAAATCGATTAAAACAGTCAAATAGCGTTCCACCCGCGGATATTTATTTTAGGAATAAGGCTGTATTGTAAAGTAGTAAAAATGTCTTGAATGAGTGAATTTTCCAGCAAACTGGAAGCATCAAAGTTCGAAAATTCCCCCACCTTTTGCGGCAACCATGGTGCCGTCTCAGGTACTAACGTTCGTGTCATGGTTCCTATTCTGTTTAATGATTAAATGAAGTCTTTTTTTATTACTCAGAAAAGTTTACAGCGTTGTGAATATAGAAAAATCATGGAAAAAGACATACAAAGAACTTTCTTAACATATGTCTTTTGTCTTTTTAGGGATATTTTGTTATAAAGGCGAGTTCCCTACAAAAGAATACTAATCACGCTCTAAGTAGCTGTTCTTTCTTGTCCGTTATATTCATGTCCTGTCATAATCTTAATGATTGTGCGTCTTTTTGCAATTGGGATTCCATGCTTTCTCTCCAATTGCATAGCCCCCCTATCGGAGGGTCAAGCCCCTCCGTCGGAGAATTTCTAGCGCCACAATAAGTAGTCTCAACTCAACGATCGAGTAACATACTTTGCAAGAAAAAATTCTTGTGTTAAGATTGAGAGCAAAGATGTAACTCAGGTGGGAAAGTCAAACACAAACCATGGGAAAGCAGATACCAAAATCTGCTACCTACTTCACCATGCCCTACGGATGAATAATGGACAGGAGACAGTTTGCATTGTGCGCTCTGGAGATGTTGATATTCTTGTTATCCTTTTAGCCAACAAGGCTAAAAACTTGCATTTCTTTATGTAGTACAGAAGAGGAAAATACAAGAGACTACTGGATCTAAATGCTTTTGCGCTATCTTTATTGCGAATTCTGGTGGACTTTTCAAAAGGAAAACAAAGTAACTGTCGGTCACTGCTGCCCTCATGTAAAAGCAGCCTCGAAAAACACTTCAAGCGTGCAAACTTTGTAGCAAGAGTAAAGAGACAAGCTTTACAAAGCATAATCAACAAAAAAGAACCAGCCAATCACGGCTGGTTAGATGATCTGTTAATTGATTGGTTCACGGAGCCCTACTATACTATCCTGAGGACATTGCGGAGCTATTGTTTGCAAGCGAAGAAAAATAAAGCGAATCAGAAGGAGAAGGCGAATTTAAACTAAACGCTTTAAGAATACAGTAATAGTGAAATTCCCCTTCCCTGTAATTGCCTGCCCCCCCCATCAATGCCAGAAAAGGCCAAATTTGACAGAGCATTGATCAAGAAACCAATTTTTAATAGAATTAAACATTTCCTAAAGT